CCAGCAAGCGTACCCAACCACCGTACCAGCGTACCAGCAAGCGTACCAAACCCCGTACCCTGTACCACCCCACCCCCGTACCTTACAATCATGTATTTTGCAAAACCCAGCTAGCACCTATCTTAAATCCAGCTAACATATATGCCATTTGATGGGCATGAATCGAGTGATTGCATTTTCATACGAATCTCTGAAAGCTTTTCTGAACTCCAAGATTGACCCCCTAAACATCTTCTTGGGTAACGGTATATAAATGGTTCAACACCTCAATGATCGTCACTCCTTCGTATAACATCGCCGCACCTTTTGGATGTTTGCAGCTAATGCACCAGGATACACATACCCAACTGTGACCGGTAGGACTGGAATACTTGTCAATCAATTGTGGGTGGTTGATTTCAGAGCTTAACCGGCGCGGCATCTCTTCCCCCTCTCATGGAGTGTCTGGGATATTGAATGTCATGTCATAACTCTACCTGGACCCTCCTTCAAGTACCCGAACCAAACATGGAAGATGACCATCTGACCCGAACCAAAAACAGCTATACGACCGAGTCGTCCCCATCGAACCATTCCAGTCGTACCGCATTGCGGACCATTCGCTCGACCTGGTCTCCGCCGGTCTCCACAGCCGTCGCTTCGACTCCCCGAGACCGAGCGCCCGCGCCGCCGTCTGCATGGCGCGCAGCTCCCGCGCGCCGGTGACGCCGGTGGCGTGGTACAAGGCCAAAGCCTGGCGTGGGAACCGGCCTTCGACCGTTGGGCCCGGGCGGGTCCGGTCCTACGTGTTCGGACATGAAGATCGAGCATATGCAGTTTCCATGTGCCGAATGAACCGAAGTCGGAGTGTCCCTGGAAAAATCTCCACTCAGTGGATAGGACTAAAACCAGCCCTTTGTGAACCCTCGGAATGATAAAGTATGATAAATTTGGTGTTGATACCGTTTTACAAATAAATGAGGTGTTTCTAAACGGTTGTTTGCTTCTGTCGGTGTGTTTTGTCTTATTTGCGCATGTATTTTTACTTTCGTTTGGCTCTGGCGCGATGAAGCCCAGCTCTGAATCCTAAGGGCACGAGTGGAAATCCAAGTACAATCAATTGTACGCTCAAAATCGGCTCTTTGCTGGTTTCTTCATGACCTTTTTTGTCTTGGGGCAAGACGCTTCTTGCTCAGTTGCGGAAATCGATGAGTGCACCAGAAAGGTCGCCAACTTTTTTGGAAATGTGCCGTCCACCTGTACCTAAAAGCCTACAGCTTCTGCACAGATCCTAGGACAGCATCTTTGCGATCAAGGGCTATAGTTCTATCAAGGGCTATTGTCATTCACAATGTTCACAGGTCTACACCACGTGAAATAAAAGAACAAGCACGGATTGGGATGGCCCCAAATGAAACAATTGCAGGTGGTTGAAACCATTTGAAACCTAGCTCACCTGAATGTTCGCTCCAAAAATGGGATGGATACCCACCCCTCCCTTGGAACGAACGCACAGCTTCGCCTGCTCCGCGGCGGTGGCTGCCTGTCGGACCAGGCCACCTTTGAGGAGCAACCTCCGCCGGGTCCGGGGGGTTCGTGGGTCCAACCGGAGGACCGAACAGAAGGAGTGCCCAAGACATGGCAATGGGTTTAATGGGTTTCCTAGATGGTCATGGAGATATGTCTCCTACTCCCGACATCCGGAGCTCGGACCTTTTTTCAGGTCATGAATGTCAACCAATGGAGCTCGGAGCCCAAGCTGAAGGACTCAAGGACTTCCCAGAGCCAAAAGGTAACTCTCATCAATGTTCCATTTGATGTGTAGCGACAAAAGTTGGTCAAATCTAGACAATCATGTTGACGCCCGCAATCCTCACCCCAACGAGTGACACAAGCATATTTGAGAGCCAACATAGACCTCCTAGACAGTCCAGTTTTTTTTTCATATGTGTCACCCAAAGTAGAGGAGATTCCTAGACTCGGGTCACCTATAAGTCAAATCATCTGTTGAAATACGCCCAAAAAGAATCAAACCGATCGGCGTTCACCTGATCGAACCCCCCAAACCGGTCCGGTCGGCTTTTGTGGTGACAGTCACATCGTCTTCCTCTCGCTGGTTTTGTCAAGTTCCCATGCTTCGTCTCTTCGTGTCGTGGACGAAAAAGCCATGGGGGTCGACCAGCCAGGGATTCCAAACGGTCGACCAGCACGGGGGTGTATGACACCAAGGGTCCATGTGGTGCGCCTGCAGGGGTGGTAGATGTATAATAGTGCATTCTGTGGGACTGGAATTTGTGACCTGCATTGGGGCCATATAGGTCAATGGCAGCAACTATTCCATCAAGGGATGGCCTGGGATAAAGACATGTGAAGCGGAATCTTCATCCGATAAACATCCCTGGGGAACAAGTATTACCCTAGGATTCGATCCTCATTGATTGAGTGGCCTTTTTACCAAACAACCATGTTTTACTTAAGGATGTATATACGCTATAAAAACCACGGTCAACCTCTCTTTCAAAAGGTCTTGGACAGGTCTTGCACGGCCAAGGTCCATTTAAATACGTCAACCTCTCGAACCGAGCAGGGGAATCTCTCGGTCTCCCCTCATCGACTCTACGGTCTTTCGCCGAGTCGAGTCGCCCATCGAAACTTCGGTCGGTCCGGGCTCCCCGACTGACCCACCATGATCTGCGCGTTCGCCTCCATGATGGGGTCCTAACGCACGCGGCGACCGGACCGCGGCCCCCCCTACGGCGAAGCTTACCAAGCTCCGAGGGGCTAGTGGTGAACTGGAGTGCGTGCTGCATGTGCTTTCAACAGTTTTGCTGAGTTCAGACGACGAGAAGATCGTGGAACCTGGTACCCTGGAATCTTGAAGTTTATGTTTACATCTCCAAAAAGGTAATTTCTGTTGAGGTGAATGTTGGGCACCCACTCACGTAAACAACATGCCATTACCCAGACTATCCATGGGACCGGCCTATTTATCTGCATTGGGGTGCTTGACCCGGGGTCAATGTAATTACATAATATGTCATGTAAACTAAACACATAATGTTAAATAAATGATAGATGTGGATCTTAACAGCCCAGTTCAAACACCTTAGCTATACCAAATACCAGCTGTCGTGGGTGTTGGTAGCAGCACAAGAATCACCTGCAAAACACTAGGTACGCGGAATCATCATTGGGATTCTAGGCCAGCCCCCACTCCAATACAACTGCCCCACAGGGTTGCTTGCAAGATCGCCAAATTTGGGTTTGTTGTGGCATGTTGCGTCCCATGTTTGTCGGTGGCATGTTCCTGAGAACTGTGTGTTTGTGTTGATTCCCTCCTTGCGAACCGCTTCCGGAACTTGGCGAACCGGTCATGAAGATTCGGATTCGCCAAATGGTTTTACCAAAACCTGCTTGGCACGTTGTGGAACACCTGCTCCGAGAAACACGTGCATAGAACCAGACCGTTTGTCCATGGTCCGTGCGGGGACTTCTCTAAAGAAACAAAAGGTGATGTGGACCAGCATCCTGGCCCCTTCTTGGGCCCACAACTGCGCCTAGCTACCACAAATGGTGCACCCAACCGCCGCGCAGGATGCCCCAGCCAGGATGGGCCACCGCCCAAGCGCTCCTGCGCCTTTCGCCAATGTGCCATGGAGTCGGCCATGTACCTGAAGCCGCTTCGGTCCAAAAGGACGGGGAGAGTCACCAACCCCAAAGAGTCCCATAAAGTGATGCGCAACATGCGCGCGAGGTTTTGATCCACATCAATCAAGTAATTGTTTAAAACTTGTTGCAACAACTCGTCCAAATTATGGTTTCGCACCAAAAGAACCAACTTCACAGATTCACCAAAAACACTTCGATTTTTTGATTGAAACTCATCTTCGATCCGTTGCTGATTCGCATCGTCAGCAAAGGCTATAGGTCAAACCTAGCGTTGGCTTTCGGTCGTGAAGACTAGGGACATTCGTTGGAACAACGCAGGGTGGGAGCCGGGAGACAGGCCCCTTTGGATAGGAGGGCCATGATGACCATGCAACGTATGTCCTACGACCGAAGCGACAAAAGAACACAGGTCACTGAAGTGACGCAGTCATCTCGCCCAAGTTTCCTTGCGCAATGCCGCTGTGGTGCCTGGCAGGTTTCACTCTTGTTTTCAGTTGTGTTTTTTCCCTTGGCTGCTTGGGTGGAAGAGCCACAAAGAACCCAAAAGTGCCCGGAGCACAGGCAACATTGTGATGTAAAGTGTTTTTTTGCCCTTGTCCTGTGGGCACCTATTTTGAGGCCAAATGTGGCTTTCCTTAATAGCTGAACATATGAGCAAGTGTACCAACCAGAACTCCGCATGTCATGTGCTGCCCCCGCGGGAAAGTGCACTCTTCAAACAAAGATTATGGGAACACTAAGCACACTATTATCAATGTAGTTACGAATGGGGATATTGGGACTACACACGCCAGCTGCGTGACCGCCAAAAAACTGGGACCTCAACCACTGGCCGCCTTTCCTCACCAAAGCTCTGCCTGATAAAGTGCAGGCTTTCAACCACGCAGCGCCATAGTGCCAAATGTCATCGCATTGACTTCCACTCTGCTGCAGAACTCGTTCTTCAACATATTGTCGAAAAGCGTTGCCCGCTTAGGCCATGCTTGCACCAACCTCACAATACAGGTGCAACAGCACCACCCCTGCAGGAACATGGTCCTCGTCAGGTCGACTGCAAGAAGCAACGTGCAAGTCCCGTTTTTGCTGGGCCCATCAGATACGGACGAACGCTAAGATTGCTGCGCGGTCGACATGAGACGGTGCCTCCTTGAATCTTCTAATACCTTACATTTCACCTACGAAACTTGGTCAAGAGGAAGTGGCAAACCGGTCAAGGCGCATCAAGGATCATTAAGTTGGAGATTGATGCTTGTTGGAGGTGTTTTACCCAGGTTCCATCCACGACCTCAGAAAAGAAATGGGTGGAGCCTGAACAACTGAGCAGAAGTGGCTCTTAGAACATCATGAGAAAGTGTGTGGGAACTCTGCAAACAAACTTGAGGCCAGAGGGGGTGAACGAAAGCTAGCCGGGCTTCCGGTGGTCTGCTGCTGGTGCTGCTGCTGCTGGTGCTGCTGCTGCCGCTGCTGCGCTGGGCGCTGCTGCGCTGGGTGCTCTGCAGGCGCCGGGTCGTCTGCTGCTGCTGCTGCTGGCGCTGGGTGGTCTGCTGCGGCTGCTGCTGCCGCGGCGTTGGGTATGCTGCTGCTGCTGCTGCCGCCGCTGGGTGGTCTGCTGCTGCTGCTGGTGCTGCTGCTGCTGCCGCTGCTGCGCTGGGCGCTGCAGATGCTTGGTGTGCTGCAGCTGCTTGGTGGTCCCGCTCACCGCGCGCAGGGGGGAGTCGAACCGCGGGGGGGGGGGGGGGGGTCCATAAGATTGATTTAATCAATTATTTGAGGTTTCTGAGGTGCGTCCACCCCGTCACTTAACTTGCTAAAGCAAGAGCAACTCCAGCTAGCTAAGGCTAGCTTTCGTGATCATCTATGGTCCCTTTTCCTGCTCAACATACGTGGCGGCCACGCCACACACCGCAAAGCTTACTGGAAGAGGGCTGAGTTGACATCCAGTTCATTGGAAGTTCATGACAGTCCAGCCCGATGTCTTTTCATGAGGCCTAATGAATCCTCACTTGGCAAAACTGCGAGGCCGTGATTGATGGAATATGCTGCTTTGCCAAGGGGGGCCAGTTCCATTTAAAAAACCAAGCTTTTTTACAGGGGAACTGTAGTTCTTGTATTGAACATGAAAAACAACTTCAATTTGCACGTGTCGATGATCAGGGTATTGATCCTTGGCGAGGCTTCATGCGAGTGGATTTCATGCTTTGATACTCGAGAAGCCACCTGGCGCTCATCGCACCCATGTTCAAAAGTTCATCAACTTCAAGCCTAAGAACAATAGGGATGGTGAATCTATCAAAAGAAGCAACCAAAAACAGTCTAAAGCTCTTATTCGAGGCACCCACTCGGTGAGTGTCCCAGCCCCTATTCGAGGCAAAAAAAACATATGCCCAAACCAACACTATACCCGGCTCTGCGTAGCACTTTTTACACTCTTCTGACTGACCGTAGAACAGTTTCCCAGAATCGTAGAAGAGCACCTGCCAGTCCTGCCATTGAGACAAATGCTCTTCTCCGAAGATTGAGCGACTTGGTAACTGCCTCCACTGAGGAAAAACACACCAAAAACACGACCCTGAAACCTGCCAGGACCCTCCAAGGGGTGCCCAATGGAAGCTTATTGGTAGTGTGGGGTAGTTCATTGGACACCCCTTGGAGGGTCCAGGTGAAGGCATGGTGATTCTAATTTATGTAGACTGTTGATTACTAACACCCTGGAGGCCGCTTGGGATGTGTGGCTGGTGAACCTGAGGCCGTCTTTCGTCTGGATCCCATCGGCTTCGAGCCTTAAACGCAGCATCAATTACTGAAGACAACACCAATCAGTACCTAAACCATCCATGGGACTGGAATAGTTACTTACATTAAGCTGGTTTATGGGGTCAATCTATACCAATCTATGACTATTCCATAATATGGATGATTGAAAAATCATTTCACAACCCAAACACCGGAACCTCCCACCCAGTAAAACGACGAGCACGTTGCCCGTTGCAAACTGGCCAGTGCTCACGAGGCGATCGCCTGCCCTCGCCTCGAGAACGACGAAGGGGTTTCATGACACATGAAAGGGACGCCAGTTCTTTGCATTCGGGGGGAAACTGCTGGTGTTTGGATTGGTTGTTGGGGTGGGGGAGGGCCCGACGGGGGAGTGTGAGTAGGGAAACCCTGAAAACCACGAAGCCCCTGGAAGCCCCTGGAAGCAATCGGAAGGTCGGCCTGGGGTGTCTCACCTCTTCCGTTCTTACACAGGCTGGAACCGGAAGCTCGTCCTGATGGGGGGGGCGAAACATGAAGACACCATGGATCAACAAATCGGACCGTCCATGAGACTGGAATACGTTCGTATATCATGTTATATACATCAATGGAATCATGAAATCATGGAGTCCATGTATTACATGGTGCCTTGGATCCAATCAGCTGGATGCTCTGGGAATGGGACTGAACATATTTTATGCCGACTGACTCCTGAAATCACGCCCGGCTGAAAGACTTTGCAAGTCGCATGGAGTGTCTTGGCATGAGCTGTGTCGCTATCCTGCGTTGCTCCATCAGAGAGGCATCCTCCCTCGCTTGGCTATTTTGATGGGTTCAGTGTTCAACTAAAGGAACCGACGGAAAACAAGCAACCTCTCGGCAAAAATGGATCGATGTGTGCTTTTCAAAGAGGTTTTATATGCCAGGTGCCTACCACGGTTGTCGGAGACACTGTCAGACCAGCCATCTTTCATCAGAAAAAGGGTAATACATTTGACTTGCCAAAATTCAGAGCACACTTCTTGGAAAGTTTAGGTCATCGTGTCTCGTCATGGGTTCCCAAAAATAAACTTCATGCTTCACCTCTTGCACTTGCGGATGCATGTGTGACACTGGGGGTACAAGGAGGACCAGTGGTTATGGAAAATAGTGGAATTATGTGGAATTATTCATGTGCATCAATTCTGCTTTTATGTTGGTCTTACTTTCTTTCATTCCGCACTTAAGCTGTCGATGTTCCCGCGGTGCAAACCTATGTGTGCATACGTCAGCCGCGCGTGTGTCCCGGGCGTGTAACCATTTCGAACCGAGGAGCAAATCCTCCGTCTGCTCGTAGAGTTGCAAGGCCTCGCCGCGACGTTGCTCCGTTGCTCCGACGTGTGCGGTGAGCGGAGCGTTTGGGAAGCCTTAAGGGACACGGGGAACCGGAGAGCGGAAGAGAGCACGTCCAAAGCAAAGCAAGGACCATGATTTTGCAGACACGCGTGCTTTGTCATGCCATGTGTTCTTTCAATACTAATAACAACGAATAACAAGGATGCATTCTTATAAGTATCAACAATATGAGTTTGTGAAGGAAAGGCTGGCAGAAAGTCTTGCACCTGGAAAAAGGCTGGTAAATACCCTACATGGTTGATTGATGTAGCCTAGGGTATCCTAGTATCTCGATATCCTTGCAAGTATCGGGTCTTTCAGTGGGGCAGAGTTCAATTAGGATTGCACTGGTGCAAACCGAGTGATTAAAACAAAGAGTGAATCTCCTTAGCCAGTCAATCAAGTGGGTGAGAGTCAAATAGAACCTGGCATCTCCTGGCCAAGTTCTGTGTGTTTTTCATGTTTCCTTCTCCTCCTTTAAAAAAAAAACAATATATAATAATATATTTATATTCAATGTATCAGTGTTTTTGTTGTCTTCCCAAAGAGCTCGAACTGGACTTGGCCAAGCCCTTTTTGAAACCCAACTCCTCCACTGGAAACCCGTCACCGTCCATTTTGGGGCAATGTCGCACGTCGCACATGTCCCCGTCGCCGCCTGTGTGGCCAGGCGGTGCGCTTCTTTGTTGCACGCCTTCGCATCCTCGGCGTGAAGAACACGCGCGAGATGAGGGAGTTGACAAGGCCTTTGGATTATTTGAGTCGAAAGAAAGGCAACGGATTCTAAACACGTGACCCACGATCGGACTCTGATTCCAAACATAACCAAGCACGCGTATCGCAATCCACTCAGTGTTAACCTACTTACATGGTGAGATATATGGCAATCTGAGAAAAAAAAAACAACGAGACAAACAAACCAACGTAGTTTCAAATTAATTATTCAATAAACACCTAACGCCAAGTCAACCCACCAAGTCAACCCACCAAGTCAACCCCTATATGTATTGTATCCTATTCTGCTGGTATTTTGCTGTATGTCTCCAAGTGTGGTTTCTCTGTCGATCCACGCCCCTCCGCCACGGGCCCCTATATTCACCCCAAGGCATGGGATGACTGAAGCCAACGCGTCTAGTTACTGCAATCGAAAACACAATATCAAGAACAACAAACACCCAAAAAATAACATAGTAAATATGTACACATATTGTTGTTTTGTTACATATTAAGAACAAACACCAAACAAAAGCAACATGTAAAACAACAACAATTTATAATACGATCAAAGCACCCCTTAGAGTCACATTTCTATGTCCCATCTGGGTGTCTCATTGAGTCATGTTCAACAAGTCCCATGCTGATCCTCCTGATCCTCTGCCTTCCCTCCTAAGTGCCTGGCACCTTTGTATTTGATAAAAATCTTGGCCTCACCACAGTCTCTCCGCGCGAAAGGCGAACGCAAGCACAAGGATCACCGAACACCGAACATGAATGAAGTAGAACATGGACATTGCAGGACTGAACATGTGGGCGTGTAGTAGAACCATAGTCAATTCAAATGCCAAACAGGGATTACTCCACTTAATTGTTCTTCAATCTTGTTGAAGGGAGTGTTTTCAGTGTGGCTCATCCGCACCACCCCCGAACTGAACTGCAAAGCCATGACCGGACTTTATGCCAACTCCGGGCAAATGGAGTTCTGCCAAGATCGGTCATTTGCCGCTGATTTGGCTTGCTCCAACAAAACCAAGGCGCAGGCGCAGGTGCCAAATCAACGCATTCACTGTTCGAAGTAGATTTGTTTTGGGAGGGCAAAGAGCCAGAACAGTGTGGCTTTCTAACATCCTCGTGAATGCAGCCGCACATTCAGTACTGGTCCGTTCTCATCAACTCCAACAAAATTGTGGCACACCACAGAAACCATACCAAACCTGAGGCTCACTGGTATGGCCGTCGTCTGGGAAGATGAGGCGCACAGCCTTAGCCTAGCCTGGGCTCTTTCGTACTTTGTCGTTAGCGCGTGCATCAAGAGGTCGCTCATCTTCCAATTCGTTTCAGAATTATTATGTTTGGGAAGCACAAGACATTTGGCAACTTCTTCTCCTTGTAATTAGAGGGATTGATAAGCCCCACCACCCACAGAAAATAAAACAATACCGCAGTGCATACAAAGCCTTCTTCCGGTGGAGGTCATGTTGTTGTTTTTTTCCATGTTGTGTCCGTCTTCTGCCTAACGGTTGATGAAGACAAATCAGGAATTCATGGGCAACATCCGTTCCAAAATCGGACGTGGAGGCGATTGGAGGCCATTGGTTCATGCATTTAGGGTCTGAAAGTCATAGCAGGTCAAACCTTTCAATCTCCTTCCTTTTTGATTTGGCAGGATTAATTATGGTGTCTAAGTGTCTAATTGGATCATGCTACCTGAAACGTCTCCCATCAAACTCTGTGGATTTTTCGCCCACGACCATCTCGGCCGAACCGTGATGTCTCAGCCCTGGACCATGACCGACAAGGACGAGGCTTCCAAACCTTGCATCCCCAAGCCATCGACTTGGATTTGTTGGTTTCGGAAGGTTTGCAACAAATACAGCATGTTTCCCCAGAAACCCAGGGATGTACCCATAGGGAAACAAACATCACCTGTTCAGCCAAACAAGCCCAACCAGGCCCAGACGCCACCCGGACGTTCGGGATCCGAAGCCAAGGACCCGCCGTGTGTCGATTCTTCACCATCCAATGGGGGCGAACGAAGAGTTGCATACCCAGTTACATGTGTGGAATGGATGCTGGAGTGTGACACCCTACTGGAATGGATGCTGGATCCAGCACCCCAATGTGTAATGTGTTGCACCCCATGTGTTGCATACATGTGTAAGAGTTACATGTGTGGAATGCCTTACACATGCTTACACATTGGGGTGCTGGATCATGGGTTGGATGTAAGCTACCTGCCATGAACATGGCGTGTTTGGGATCCGTTGACCCCATTCCAAATGATTCATCCATGTAGGTACTTCGTCCATACATGGGATTGTGCAAATTACATACATGGGCGTGTAGCAACTCTTCCATACTTGCATGGTTTCGGATGTTTTCATTCCTGGGTGACGGGCGGCATGGGTGACCGGGGTTTTCACGGAAGAAACCATCTGAGGTGGATTCCATCTGGAGAGCAAATAAACCGTATGTTACCGTATGTTGAATAATTGTCTTACAGTCAGGTCCAGGTCATGATAATACATATTCAGGGGTGTCTATACACCAGCCTTTCCATGGTGCTGCCAATGACTATGTCACATTAAAATAAGTAGAAACCGGGATCCCCAGTGTAAACCTCGGGACTCTCAGGCCTCTCGCTACAAAGTAGTTCTACGAACGTTGTCGATCACAATGCCGGACAGTGTGAGCGTTTCCCAATGCAAAACAAATGATCAAAACTGCACACGAGCAACGTCTTTTCACGCTAAGGGAGGTTTGAAGCATTCGCAGGGGGTTTGGTTAAAGGGATCGATCGCAGATCATCCATATATTTTACCCCCTAGTCCACCACCCCAACTGATCCAAATATGCCTATACGGACGGGAATGTAGGTTTGTTCGTGCCAGTATCATTGCTCGTGCGCGGCGTGTCCGTTTGCCACTGCGATCTCACAGCTGAACACCGGTGAAGCAGTGGAACACTGATCTCATCGGAGTAAGTCTTGGGGAAAACATCGCCTACAAAAACAATGACTGACTTGAATGTACCTAACATGATTTACTACAAATTTGGCAAAGTCCTTCAAAAAATAGTCAGGATAATTACACTTTCTGTCTGGTGGTTGTCTAGTCGTGTGAAGAAATCATTGTTCAGCAATCTTCAACCAACCCAGGGTCTGGGCAAGCTTAAAATGTCCCCAACAAATGACAAATATCTCTAACTCAGGGAACCTCTATGGGGTCATGGGTTGAGAGTCCTCGTAAGGTCCTCAGCCTCCACCTGGTGTAGGTAATGTAAAATATGGACAACCGCAAAGGTCGACCTGGCGAGAAAGAAGGAACATCCCCTGAACATCGGGATAGACCCTATTCTCCCCTTGAACATCTGCCGATTCTTGGATTTGCTGTCCAGGAACCTTAAAAAAAAGCATCACACATATAGTAAGCAAAATTAAAACCACATATACCCGGATACCACACCCTGGAAGACTAACATAGAACCTGAAAGTCCCTGGTTGGTAGTGGAAAATGGTCTTCCATGGGACCAGGACGTCAGAGTCTATGTGAGTGGACTCGGGAGTGTAATACTACCCCCTACGAGACCGTCCGCCTCCGCGACGTCCGCCCCTCGGCCCGTGGACCCCGCCTACGTCCGCCTCCTCGATCGCCAAGGTTCGCGCTTGGCCCACCTGCGGTGGAAAGAGCGTCGCTTCGGTTCTTCGATGATGTATTTAGTGAACGAACCAATGTTTTAGTGAACCAATGAACCAATGGCGAACCAATGGTGATAAGTGTTTAGTTTTTTCAGTGAACCAATGGTTGCCTTTCCCTAGGGCTCCAGTCGTACCTTCTAAGGTGGGACTGGGGTGGGTGCCAGGAGGGTCCAGTCATAATTTGTGAGGAGGTACGACTGGAGCCCTAGGGTTTAGATTTTCAGTGAACCAATGGTTGCCTGATGAACTCAACACAGGTTCTTCTCTCACTCATTTCGGGTGATGTCATCAGGCAAGGCCATTGCCATCCGTTGTGATGGACACTGAATGGGACTGAAATAGTTATTTGAGTTATATATACCAGGACCCTCCAAGGGGTGCCCAATGGAAGCCTATTGGTAGTGTGGGGTAGTTCATTGGACACCCCTTGGAGGGTCCAGGTACATGACATTTACTGTACCCCATGGCCTGTGCCCCCTCATGGTAACTCTTCCAGTCCCATTCGTCTGGTCTAAACCGGTGGTTTTAGCGACGGATCTGAACCTACATCCTCCGACCTCCGCGACGTCGGCTCGGATGGACCGGCCAAGCCACGCAAAACACGAGAAAGCACACCTGGCCCGGTGGCTCCCAGTTACCACTATACGAGGAACCAGGGATTCTAGGATATTCGAGGTCTATGGTTTTAGTTGAACTGGAACCACTGGTTATACCAGCTATAGCTAGCGGTAAGTGGATGCCCTGGGTGGCTGACCATCGTTGACCAATCCAGTCTCTGAAATATGTATATATCTTAAATATAAGAGATTTCCACTCACGAACGAAGAGCATGAGTCAGCGGGACTATATAATCATCCCAAGTAAAGGCTATATCTAAAACCATCACCCGGACTTAAGTGTGAAAAAGTATGAAATGGGAGGTGGGGGGGCCTTTCTGCATGATCCATTCGCTCTCGAAATCCATTCTTCAAATCACTCTCATGTTCAATTCCAACAGTCCAGTCAAATCCAGTGGCGGAGGCATCAAAAATGCATAAAGATACCCCCAAAAATGATGTCCAACAGCATCACTCCACCGGCTACACCCCAGAAGTGAAAGAACACTGAAAAATCCCGGAAAACCACCCCCGATTTAGAAGCAGGATGGGATGTTCAATGTCCGAGTCATGATGAATCATGGGATATTCAAGTAAACATGGATGGTCAGGGTGGCGGCCACTTTGTTTACTTAGTTTACTTCTCTCTGTACCACCTCTTGTGGTAGTCCACTGAACACCTTCAAATTCAGTGGACAAATGCACCGAGGAGGCTTTCCGAACAAGGCTTTCCGAACAAAAAAAGACTCGTCCAACGGTGGCGTTCACCACCGACAAACTTGGTCTGAATGTGATTGACTTCCTTTCACATCTTTTCCATATCAATCCCCTAAAACAACAAAACCAATCCGTTCTCCGGGGGGGAACCTCCTGGCCTTGGAACAAGGCCTTTCACCGTTCCAAAAGGGCTTCAACTCGGTCGTCAACCGCACCGTTTGAGCTCTCCCTCGGTGCTTGCTGCGGCGTTTCGCCGGAGATCGAGCGTCGGGTCGGTGGCGCTTCGCTTTGCCGAGACACGAACTTCAAGGCTTCCTCTCGCTTCTTCTGGCCCCGCCTCGGGAGGTAGGTGACCCCGTGGTCGAACGGAGAGAACGGGAGAACGGAAGGCTCTACCTACAACGGACATGGGTCGACGGACGGATGCCCAGAGTGAGGTCTGCGCTACAAGCTTCTGGATGAAGAAGGCTTGTTTTGTTGTGTTCTTAATGTAAGGATGCCTGCAAGCAAAGGCTTCATCACGACTGAACACACAAATTCCATGTTTGGTGTGGAAGAAACACTCACCAAACCATCCATGAGACTCTCTTTTGAACCATCCAATGGTGGCGAGCTCCCTGTCGTCCCATACGTCTGGTGACTGTATAGGTGAGTTGCTTTGGAAGAGGAGAACACATCTGACTCCCTGAGTTTTCACCCGTTTTCCTTGAAATATAAAGGTTAACAAAACGGTCCGTCTCTTCATCTAGTGGAGTGCAGTGCCCCCAATCCCGGAGATCCACTTGCTTCCTGACTAGGTCATCCCAGGAGTTCCATCCGAAGGGAGTCTCCAGGACTTTTAGACCCGTCGGCATCGGCCAAAAACACGCTGAATTCTGCACGGTGCCCGGAATGCACCGCAAAAAGAATGACCCGGATGCCTTAAGAAGATCATCCAAAGACTGGTTGACCTGGTTGTGATTGGTTTTGTAGTCTACAATCCTGAGTATAAAACATATGGTTCTTTGGACGAAAAACAAACAGGTCTACAAAACCAATGGAATACTTAGGATACTAAGACTTGACCACGTTAGTCTGCAATCCTTAGTAAATGTTAGTCTGCAATCCTTAGTAAAACAATGCTTCTTTGGACAAGACCATTAAAAAAAGAATAAAACCATGGCACCATGGTGGTCGGAATCTGACTCTGGTGGGCCCTCCCAAGAACTAGATGCAGAATCTGGTAAGAACTGTCGAACATCACTTCATCACTTGGTTGTACAGCCATTAAAACACACATATATATATATATATACCAGCACCCGACTCTACAGGTCACCAATTGAGACCTGTTAGCGCCCAAGGAGACCTGTAGAGTCGGGTGTTGGTATTGACTTTTCGACTGCTGGGCCACACCGAATCACACCCAAATCCTCACGTTCGCTGGTGGACCTCATGCACCTGGTTCATAATAAGCTCGAGGGATATTTTCTTTTGGTCTATCCATGTCATCCATGGCCCAGTGGATGATGGTTAGTAGAGGCCTTTCTCTAGAATATCTAGTAGTAATTCTTTAATTCTTTAATGACTGCCAAGAGAGGTTGAAAGACCTCTAGGACCCTGTAGTGGTACATATGGGATGGGCGAAAAAGGGCTGTTCAACCTCTCTTGGTGTTACATCATCTTGGAGTTCAACCTCTCTTGGTGTTACGGCTGTTCTCTTAGGGTGTTACAGGATATAAAAATCATCCGAATTCGTTGGACCCATGCCTTCCTCGTTGTTTGGCTCCACAAAACCGTCCCCCGGCACAACCGGGAAGCAAAGCGAAGCGAATTCGATGAAGCACGAAAGTTGGATCAGTGCTGAAGGCTTTCTCTTCATGACACCTTTCTCAACAAGGGAGACTGGTTGTTCTGGTGTTGTGTCAGACTGTTAAGACCTGATTCGTTGGATGAAAGGAAGCTGTCCTACCTCCGCTCTCACCGGAGCCGGTGCCTGACCTGGCTCCACGGTGTCCGGTGGTCCGGACTCCACGGTTCCGTGCTCTCGGGGTTCCCGGGCCGGTCGCTATTCACCTCCGCGAGGGCCAACAGGAGCCGGGCCTGAGCCGGGTCCGGGGCTGACGGGACCGACGTGGACGGACGGGTGTGGTCGGATTTCCCGGGGGTGTTAGGGAAGATGGGCAGCAAAGACGTCGACTTATGATACTGGGTTACTGGGTTGAGTGATTCTTTTCCGGAATCCCTATGGTAGCAAAATTCCAGACCCAAAGATTCATCAGATGTCGGATTTTTTCGAAACTCACCCCAAATATGGATTGAAATGATTGAAGAACCTCTTCAATATGTGGTCATTCATCAAGAGTCTAATCACATTAGCAACCTGGACAACTCGAATTCACATAGTTTGTTTGTTGTTTAAATCTCTTGGACGCCTTGACACGCAGGCTTCTGGCTTGACCAATGGCTGCTTCAAGCGTATAAGAGCAAATCCTCCACAAACTATAACTCGCAACGGCATATCTTCAATCTCTTCTATTCGACTCCCGACCACCCGCGACGGACCTCTGGGACGCAGAACGACGACCCAGTCCAGAACCCGTCTGAAAAAGACTCTAATTCCCAATAACTCCATGTATGCGATATATACCTACATTGGGGTGGATTGGGGGGTCAATGTCCGGGATTGGTGAAGAAGGCTTCCACGGAGTGTGGGGGTATAATTCCAAGCCCTTCAATCCTTGAACACCACGCCAAAGCGTCCAAGCTTTGAATCTTCCCATCTGCACGCATCAAACAGTCCCCGATGTCAAACATCCAAGTCTACAAACACTCGTGCCCGCGGTGAAAAAGAATGATCCTTCCCGCACCACACATACGCACTCATTCCTGCCGCACATGGAATGCATCAAAGGAACCAGCCACACACCAAACAGCATGGGCAAACACATCTTTTCGTTCAACTGCTGCCTGTGGGTCACAACCAGGAGACCTTTGTTTCGGGACAACAGTGGAACACCTGTTGGGGCTCCAGTGTGGCCCTGAATGACCCCCTGAAATGGAGGTTGAGGACTCCGAGTTCCAGAAGCTCCGCCAGCACCGAACCGGACAGCCTCGGCGGACTTGGAGGTGTAGGCCGCCGAGGTTTGGAAGATCGAGAGCCTCGGCAGAGCGCTTCGCAGGGCGCTTCTATAGCTTGGCAGCCATGGGGGGGCAACTTCCAAGGGCGCCTCAAGATCCGGTGTTTTCTGGGATCCTATAGTGTGGGTGTTTCGCTTGGCTTCCGGGGACCGACAGTCCGTCTCGCTCGGTGCGAAACAACGAGATGTGGTGTGGTCCCGACGGCCCCTCACACGCCGCCGCGGGTCGAGAACACGAGGGCAAACAACGGGCACCAGCATAACCAACACAGGTCTACCTGACAGCCCTTGACCAACCGGAGCGTTCACAGTGGTCACACGCCCAGGAAGGGGAAACGCACACCTCTCAACTTAACCCATCATCGGTTCGTTCTCTTTGAGGCATGGCCTACAGGCCGTCTCGACCACGGTGGCAATCCAATGGACCACGGGGTGGCTCGCCGTAGTTCAAGGACTTTAGCACAGCGGGACCGCGTGGGGGTGGCATGAGTCAGTCAACCTCTCCCAAACCATCCTGCTACATGTGATCCAATGCAGTTAGGTCTGTTCCAATCCGTTTCCCAGCCAATTCTCCCCAGCTGCTTGAAGCACACACGTCCAACCCAATGGGCACCCCGACTCATCCTTCAGGAGCCGATCCGCTTCCTTTCGGCGATCCTCTCAAGAGTTCGAGAGGGTCTTTTATATCTTTTTCGGGCAAGTCTTGGATTTGCTTGAGGATTCCGGGAGAATTTTAAACATATCCTCAGGTTAGGGGACTTAGCCATTGGGAAAATCACAACGCACCTTGATAAACAACGCCAGTAATTTTTTTCTAGGGCCTCTCACAGGACCTGGTCTTCTCAAACTCTCAAATACTCCATGCCACTGAAAAATTGATGCTGTGGACGTGCCGCAGGACCAACTCTTTGGCCTCTGGTTCTGCAAATCAGACTTTACCCAGTCTTGGGCGCCCAAACGGGCACGGGACTCGCCCGTTAAGTGCTTTTCAGCACCTCGCGCATTTAACGCCTGCGCGGGAGGCCCTGCGCTGACAAAACTGGCACAGGCAGCCTCGTGCGTTTTTGCGCCCACACGGACGGCAATGACAGAGAGCAGAGGGGCCAGAGCAGGCAGGTGGCAATCGCTTCTCGCTACGCTGTCCAGGCGCCGCCCACAGCTAGGCAGGGGTCGGCGGATTTCCCTACATTGGTGTGCTTGACACTGTAAATTATATTCTTTCAACCAGACATCGTACAATGTAATAGGATGCAACGTGTGGAGGAGCTCAACCAACTGTTCATAGTGTTCCTTGGAGCCATCCTCTGTAAGCATCATGCCTTGGTAAATATAGCATAAGCCATGCACTTTGTCTGCAAAGGGATCATTGAAGATCAACGCTGTGGCGACACCAGTCTCCGGAGCACACCTGCAGCTACCTGGGGCTTGCCCTGGGCAACGGTCGCTCCGTTGAACCCTCCAGGGCCAGGGTGTTTCGCCTTGGCGGGACCGAGGTTTTGGCTTCGCGTTGCTTCTGCGCTACAGAGCTCCTACCTGCTCTGCCTCTGGCCCCGCAAGCTATTTTTATTCAGTTTGAGTTAGCGTTAGGCACCCTGTCCGAGCTCTTGTGAGCGCAGAATTAGATGGGGAAAGCTGTGGCTTTTGCCAGCCGGATTCTCTCTTATATGCGTCTGCTTCTTAGAATTTATGTTCAAAAACTTCCTTTCAATTCTCCTTATTCTTGAAAGCATTGAGCGCATACACGCGCGCATAAAACGTCAATGTCAGCAGCGCATGGTGCCCCAAAACTTCCCGAACGCCTCCGAATAAAAGGCGCCGTCGCCGCAACTGCCACACCCCCTTTCTGCTGCAACCTCAAAAAGCAGCTGCTCAGCTGCAGCAAATGAAGGCTCTATGAAATGAGTGTCCATTTGATCATTTCATAGCACCAAATGATAGTCATTTCATTAGAGCCACGTGTATGGAGGATGTCTGAACAACGTTCTGCCCAGATTCGTACGACTACCCAACGAGACGTTGCTGATTTCGCGCGTGTTCGAGCCTCGGAGACCTGTACGAAACGTCCTTTGCCAGCGGGAGGGATGTGGCTTCTTCTTCGAGGGACGGGGCTTCGGCTTCGAAGGCTCGGCGCCATTCTCCTCACCTTACATGTTCACATAGAGGAAAGAGCCATGTCATGGTTCGTTTTGAGGGCGATGGCCATCCCGTGGAGGCCACCAGCTTGGAGGCGACATCCGTTCGGCCAAGATCGAGTGGACTCGACTGAGGTGACAGGCCTCAATTTCTTTTGGTCCACACCATCGCATTCCCGCCAGAAGTGAAGTGAGCAGGACTGGGAGAACCAGATGTGGGTGATCCATGGGCGGCGACTCTTGGTCGGAATGTGGCTCGGGTTTGATTAAGCAATTGTGAGCAGTTGGGCCTTCGGAACCCAAACAGGTGAATGTTGTGAGCATTGTACCCAGTAGTGCGCAAAGAGAGATCAATACAAGAACAAGATGGAGATCAGAGAAATTCTGTAAACTGCTGCACTGGGTACGCTTGCAACAACATCAATAGCTGAGGCAGAAAGCAGTTGAAGACAAGAAGTTGTCACCAGATTGCAAGTCCAATATCTTTGGTTACAAGTTACAAGATGAAGAGATGAAGGCGTTTGGAGAGTGGTCATGGGTCTTTGAGAAGCACTTGAGTGCAGTTGATAAAGGCCACATAAAGGACTTGAAGGAAGCTCGTTATAAGCCAAATGAGAGCTTTGATTGGGGCTTGGCAACAGCAGAAGCGAAAACCAGGTGCATCAAGCTCTATGGATTGTCAGCTGAATTGGTGAAAGCTGTGGAAGACTCCAATGGACTTGATGCCTGGAGGAGTTCAAGTGTTTGAGTAACCTTCCTCCTGCAAACAGACCGCCTGGGCATCAGCTCCACACCTGATGTCCACATGACACCACAGGAAAGACAGGAGACTGCTAGAACAAGCAACAGTGGAGAAAAGCCTGACTGTTTTTCTGATTAGGGTGACGCTCCAGTTACAGCACCTGTGTGTGCCTTATGACCCTGGTGGCGGTCGCGAAACTTCGCGCGCGCGGGCGGGCAGGCGGGCGGGCGTGGGGGTGCGTGTGCTGGTGTGCATGTGCGTACGTGTGTCTCAAGCTGAGGTTGCCAGGCTTTTTACATCAGACCCTCGTGCGCACACCTGTGTGGGAGTGTGTATGCGCAGGCGTCAGAAGCTGTGCTAATCGTCCATTTTGTTGTGCAAAGACCCTGCGGATACGGGCAAAGCCCCCAAGGGCATCGCCGGTTGGGCAAGCCTGTCAGTATGTCATGCATGGAGTGTCTGGCTTTTGGATCCCGAAACGTGTGGGTAGAACATCTGTTTTTTGCATTTTTTAGGGTTAACAAAAACTAACCAAAACATTGTTGGAATATATTGGAATGATTCTACAAGTACCTCACAGGTGTTTCTTGTTTCGGCTTGCGTACCACCTGGAAACAAATGCTAACAGCACCGCTGTGAAGGTGCAGAAGCACCAGCGGATATTGTGGTGGGCCCCTGTGGGATTCCCCGGTTTGACCATCTCAGTGTGCGTTCTGAATACACTCCTGGAACTGACATGGAAGTGGAGGTCACCTCCTGTTGTGTATTAGGATTTCATGGTCTTCCGAACTCGGGGCCATGCCATCCACGTAAGCATGTGGCCGTTCCAGGGAGTACTAAGTAGATTTTTTTTTTAAAACTCCCTGGATCGGCTCACTTTGGGTGGTTCACTCTCCTACCCTCGGACTCGCCAGCGACGTCCAAGGCTGCTTGGGGAAAGTCCTTTTCTTTGATCGGTTGTCGACTAGGGACTTCGACGTTCGGAAAGTCCGTTCATGTCCTATCAGATATTCCAGGTCAAACTCTGGTGCGGGTGTCTGCAGTGTTACTGAAATTGGTTGAATTGGTTTTCTGTAAATCTTTGAACATCCCTAAGCCATTAGCACCCCCCTAAGCCAAAGAAACATGACAGTGATGCCAGCTTTCAATCTCTTTGCTTCTCCATCGCCGGGCCAATGGAAACCAACCCCAATTTCAAACAGGCCGATGGAGACGGTGGAGTTCTGAAGCCTGAAAGTGGTAGGAGGTAGGAGGTTTAATCAACCAAGTGATAGAAGATCATTGGTTTAATCAACGAGATATGAATGGAATTGGTTGACTGGATTGAATGTTTGCTCATTCAACCAAGCGATCTCAAGTCAAACCCGGAAGTTCAATCATCTTTGAGGATCTGTTCGGCTTCCCACCGGTGGGTCGATCAATGATTAATTTCAGTGGTTGGGTCCAAAAATAAAGGTCACGACCAGCCTCCAGAATCTCAAGGCACAGAACATACGACATGAAAATACACACATCGCTCGATGATTTTCGATATGGATGTGGCTGATTCTCCCTCAAAACCCCCTGAGTGGCCCTCGGTTTCCCATGCAACATAAAGCTGTTCACGCATATCAAAACCATGTTTCTTGCTAAGGAAACCAGGTGTTTGGTATCAAAACCATGGCTTGTGGCAGGCCCCAGGCCGCTCCTGGTGGATCATGACAACGGACAAAAGCCGCGCTGCATCAGCTTGCCTGGCCAAAAATGTCACTGATTCCCGCAAGGTGTTTGAAGGTGAGCCGAGCTTTCCACCACTTCCTCGTGGGGCTGTTTGAAGAGTCATCGGCAAAAGTGCATTGCTCTCCCATGCTCCGTGGTTCCTCCGCGGTGTGAATTCACCTTCGTTCAGTGAGAAATGTGGATCAAACATATGGGGTCCCCGGGTCCGTCTGTTCGGCCAACACCCGCCAACTCCTCACGCCCGCCAACTCCAGGTGGAACGGAGTCGCGAGAGAGAGGGAGAGGTGAGTCAAACCACGACCATTCCGGGACTGGCAAGAAAGCCTGTCCAAGGCCTTTGGTAGTGTAATTACCATACTTATCCCAAATATACCAGGGCCCGGTGCCAGGGGTGGTTAAAGGATACCCCGAATCACTTCTAAGGAGCTTTTCATTTTCGACACTTCTTATAGGGGATAAATACAGCATGAAAAGGGGGTCAATGTATGTCAATGTTACATAAAGTGAGTGAAGTTGGTTCTGTCCAAAACTCCCAGGTCCCAAGTCCATTTAAAGCTGAACCTTCCACATGGCCAAACCCGCCCCAATGACCTCATACCTTTTCGCCCGGACCTTCCACATGGCTTGGAATTGGTTCAGCATCTCTCAGCCACCTGCCACGTGTGGCAGCGCTGTCCCCTGGTCCCCACTCATTCTCCACGCCCGGCTCCGCCGGGTCGGACCCGCAGGTCTCGCCGCATTGTCGGAAGGTGGAAAGGGACCTTGCTCGCAGCGCACCACCGAGCACCGTGCGGCGGTGGGGCGGGTCTACACTCGAAATAGATACGGAGGTGTAAACAACTAGGTCCCAGAGGAGCATGTTTCTCGATCAACTGGTGGCTGAACTCCACTTCTGATTGTTTCAGTGAGCGTAGAAGAATCGATATTGTCCAATGCAAGAAATTTCAGAGCTTGAAAACCTAAAGCTGCTTGAAAGGCTGCGCTAAAAGTGATCACAGAAATACCGGTAGCATCCGGTAGCTATTGCAGCATTTTAGACTCTTAGACCGTTAGACCTTTTAATGGGGTCTGGAAGTGTGGTAGATCTTGAAGGACAGATGAAAATCTCATCCAAGCTGCTAGAATCGAACATGTTCGGGGGAAAATGAATGGCAAACCCGAACTTCACCCCGATTGCCTTGCCTTCGAAGGATCGGAACGAACTTCGATTCCGGGTGAAGGATGGATCACACAGGTCCCAAAAAACTCCCTGTTCAGGTCCAAACAGCAGGAGCTAGAGGGTCCTGCAGGTTCTTCTGAAACTTCCGCGAAGAGAAGGAGGTCAAACCCAAACCATGCACAGGGTTTAAGAGGTGTCAAATCCAAAATGTTTTGAACAAAACAAACCGAGGCCTTCTGAAGAGCATCCGCTCCATGTTCTTGACGTGTTTACACCATCAACCACAAACCAACTTGAGCCATGGTATCCTCTCAAAACTCTCCTTTCCACCCAAATGCCCCCCCCGCCGCAAATAAAGCACGTCGCCCTTTGCTTTGCCACACCACGCGTTTTCGGGCATTTGCGCACCAAAGGCTCAAGTTTTAACAAATCCAACATATTCCTATCTAGGACCTTCCAAGATGTGTCTATAAATAGCCTCTTAGAGTTTAAGGGGTGTCCAAAAACCACCGGACTTGGAAGGTCCTGGTATATTATCCGATACATATAGTATATTCCCTCCTAAGAAGGGGGTTCACCCACGGGAAATCTCCACCCTGCCGGTACCAAAAGGCGCCTCGATCGCCTCCGGGCTCCCGGGCTGCTCGGCCAGGCGATTCGCTTCGGCGAAGGCTTCGAGCTTTAAGGAGGCTTCCTGCGGAGAAGGACTGAGGTGCTCGGTGCAAAGAAAGGACCTAAGGCGAACCTCACGCCCATATTATCCTCAGGTTCGGTGGTATTCGACCCTGCAGCTCTCCCACCCGAACGACCTTCGAAACGGAGCCCGAAAACGGAGGCTGTGGAGGTGCATGGCATCATGACCCTGAGAAACGGCCGACCGGGGTGGTTGAGGACGACCCGAGGTCAAGGTGAATATTTCAGACATAGATGGTATGGGAATGACATTCATGAAAAGCTGTTTGCACATGTTAGCAACACACTCTTTTTGTGTGTTCAGCAGGTTGGAGGTTGAAGGCAAAAGATGGTGCAGCTGTTATTGGCGTGGATTCAAGCAAACTGATGCCGTAGGATGGTCACTTCAATCAGCATTCTTCAACATCTTAAGTCAAGCCATCAATGTTGGAATCCACAACGTGGTGTTGTCAAATGCCACGCTCCACTCGTGACCCTGACTGAAAGAACAAACCTTCGGATCTCATTCTTCAACGACAACCCAGAGGCTACGGCAACTAAAACATCCTCAAAATACCAGTAGAAACCTGGAGAAGCGAAAGCCTCTGTGCTTTCATTCCCAAACCTGTATATCATCAACACCTGCACATGTTGCGTAGCAGCCCATGTTCACCTGGCTTGTTGGTTGCTTACTTCTTATCCTTTTCGCTCCTGTGGTGCTATAGCAAGACCAGGGGCACCCACAAACCATCAAAAACCGGGTTTTCCCTAAGGAAAAAAACATGATGAAACATGTAATATATATATATATATATGTGAACACCTGTATTTTTCCATGGGTTTGAGGGCCAGTGGGATTCAATACCGACAAAAAGATCACATGTCTGAACAGAACGTGGCGGAATTGCATCCTACAACTTATTGGCATGAGGCGTACTTGCAGTCTGCTCGGTCTCTATATACTTGGCCAAAGGTCTTCGGCAAAGCTGAGGTCTCAAAGGATGGCTCTGATCGGGGAAATTGGCTGCCACCTTCCACCTTCCCGCTAAGGCCACAGCTGCTGAAAGCAGGAGGCGACTGGCTCCCCGATTCGTGACAATGGGTCGATCTGGTCACGGAGGGCGGATTCGTGACGGGGTGGCGGATCGATCGATCGATCAGAACAAATGAATGGGACTGGCTTATTTAGACCTCATGGGGTGGTTGAGATTGACCTGGGGTCAATGTACCGGGATCTTCCAACCATGACAATTCGATGCCTTTTTGATCAAAAACAGCACAAAGGCAGATGGGCATAGTTGGAACAGCGACAGAGAAAAGACCAGGGGTGATCAACCTGGGATCAATGCAAGGATTCAAGTCCCATGGAGTGTCGATAGGTCCGATAGGTCCTTCTGGTTGTCAGAAACAGCCCTGGAAATGATGGATGAACATTGTCAACCTGAGAACGAGATTCCTCAATGTGTTTTTTCCCTCGTTGGCGGAGCGGTGAGAAAGCGCCTGATGGTCCATGGTCATCGCTGGAGCTTTGGGTCTATGTCGTCACCACGGGCAAGTTCATTTGATTCAGTTCAGGGACTCCAGAATGTGCGTTTTAGAGGATTCAGAAACAATTCTACCGTGGACTACGGAACAACATGTTATAGCGGTTGGATTGTGGGTCTGCAACTGGCTGGTGTGCTCTCATCCAACACCCTTCAAGACTTTCTCTCGGAGTCGCTCTCACTGCTGAGAATGGAACCTGTTTGAAAACCGGCGCACCACATTGGTTCGATACAAACCAAAACTCTCAAGAGAAGATTGAAAACAGCATAAAGCAACAAACAACAGTAAACCTGGTCAAAGTTGCAACTGCTGGACAATCCTGGAGAAGCTCCGAGAAACATCTAGTATCCAATCAAACAGAATTTGAAAACAACAAACAACAAAAACACACCATCAAACCTATGTATGGAAGAGTTGCATACATGTACCCCATCCAAATGAATTTGATGTAACTTCCAGTCCATTAATGGATGGTCTGAGAAGCAAAACCACAACTTGGATGATGCTTATATGTATCATCTTTCATTTTGCCATAAGTACTTAGAAGTACCCTGTAGGTCATCTTCTTCCAGTCACGTTAAGTATAAGTACCCTGCCATTTTTAACATCTTCCCCAGGTAAGAGGATTTACCCAGTTGAAAATAACAAAACATCACCTTGATTCAGCAAAACGCAGGACAACGAGCCGAGCCGAGTGGTGGCGCCTGGCAGGTAGCGCCTGCCAGTGTGGCGGAGAAGAAGGACGCAGGAAAAAGGATGAACCCTAGGAATGTTCAAGGTTATTCTAGGAATCCTTGGAATCCTGGGAATGTGTTTACAAATTGTACAATCTGCGAAAGTTTGGAAGAATCCCCTTTTCCACACGAAGCACAGTCAAGCAAATAGTCTTTGTTCTCACTTCTATCGATTCCTCCACCACAAGCAGTTGAGGGTATTTGAGGGTTTTGGAAAGGTGCCACACTGAATCAAAGACACGTGGCAGCTGTGAAGCTGTTTGGTGGGCATGTCACCTACCGAAGTGTCGGCCAGTTTCTTGGATCCTACACTGAGACACTGAGAACAGAAAACGCCGCGTTTGAGAACAGAACACGCCTGGCTTTACAGGATCTATTGATGAAGTCAATATTCCCAAACAGAAGAGTTTACCTGCTTTTGAGGGCATAAATGGGGTGGAGTATGTAGCTATGTCATCCTGTTGAAAGAGGTAACCACGGCTCGTTGGCTTGTCTCGTGCCGGCAATTGGGGAGATCACTTCTGAAAAGGAAACACCATGTTCAGCAGCAATCTCCCTTTCAGTTCTCCCCTTCTACATAACATAAATCCATCAAATCCATCTCATGATTACTAGCAAACATCAATCCAATCTCACCAACCAGGGCTTGCATCCCATTCGTTTCGGACATGTTCGGACCCTCCGGCCTCGTCAGTTCATCTGCCCACATGGCCGGTCATGTGGTCCCCACACGTGGTGCTGAGAGAATAAGGGCCGACTGTGGCCCAAAGAGAGACGTTCGATCAACCATAGAGAAACCAACCATAAGACTTTCGGCTAGACATCAACCATAGAGATCAACTATCTGATAACAGTTTTTTTGCCAACAAACATTAACCATAGAAATAAGAAATTGTCCCATGAGCTGGTGCTCCGTGGAGGATTTGGTTCGACCGAACCAGCAAAAACCGGGTGGATTGTTGGCACATGGGCTCTGACCTTGGTTTCCGTCCACGGACTTTGCTTTCTGTGCATGGAGTTGTTCTTTTGGGTTTACTGGCTACTAGTTTGCCTAAAACCTGTCAATGTACATGTTTTATAGCCACTGATTTTTAAGTCAAATTCAGCCACTGGGTGTTTACATGGTGTTCACATCGCAAACACAGCCGGTGTCTCAGACCTGTCTCGGTGTAATCTGCCGAAACAAACGTTGCAGCATCCGGGATCCGTCTGGCGTATCCGAGTCACCCAAATCATCTGCTCATTGGGGATCATTTGTGGGTCCACCGTTATATTCAGTAGATTGGCATAAGTAGAGGCGGGATTGAAAAATGGCCAGTGTTCCAGCTGCTGCAGATTGCTTCGTACATGATCAACCGCCTGAGATAGAATGGCAGCGGGCACACAATCTATTCCGCCACTGGTGTTCAAGCGTTTTCATGAAACATGGCACTAAGGGTCAAATCTTCTGCAAACTTTTTTCTTGCTCTTGCAGGTGGGCCATAGACATGAAATACTGGGTCAAAGCAACTTTGTATCTTTAGATTTTTTGGAAACATCTGGGTGCACTGACATGCTTTTTTAATGATACGGCGACCACCGAGATCTACACTCCTTGAACAAATCATTGTTACATGGATGGCGTGGCCCCTTTGCTAACGAGTTTCCGAATACAAACCGTTGGTGACATCCACGTGATGATTTCAGGGAGTGTATAAACCTAAAACCTGAGTGACCCAGGTTTTTATACGAACCGAAGATCCGCGATGCCTTGCTATTTTGCGGACTGCCCGATCGGTCCCCGGAGCAGCCAGGACTTGATGAGTGGTAAATCGGAAAGAGTCGTAAATCAGAAAGAGTGAACACTCCGTAGAGCTTGGATTTGCTTGTTTCGCAAGCCTGGATAAGACAACACATTTTCCCAGAAGGGGATTTAACCGCAGGGAAAATTTGCCAAACAAAAAACACGCTTAGGCAAAACCAGGTTAGGGGTTCCAGGAAAAGAACACATTGACTCATCCAAATGGAACTGGTTGGGAGTTCCCTACATGGATGGGTCACAAATAGGGTAAAATGTATGTGACTATTCCAGTTCCCACGAACCCACGGATGGTCTGGGTGTAAAATCGACTGTACTCATCTTCACTACCGGTGGGCGTAAAATGGCAACGCCAAACAAACACAGACCCTCCAACGACGATGCGACAATGGTCCTCAAGTGAGGCTGGTTGGTGGTTTCAACGGACGAATACAGTCAGTGGGTTCAATCACCCCAAGTAGGTTGAACTTATTCCTTAACTATCTGAAACCACCACCAGAAAACATCAGGGAAATGTGACCTGATGTGGTTGAATCCACCTGCAGAACAAAGGTTGAGTACCTTTGGTATACCTCTGTGTACCATACACATCATCATACATCATCCAAGGACCGCATCGGCTGAGATCCGCCTCGGACCCCGTCGGACTCGTCGTTCCCAGACCTCTTCTCCTCTGCGACCCATCCGAACGTGTCAGGCTCGGAAGGTCCGTTTCGTCCGTTTCCACCGAAAGAAGCTACTCGTATAACTATATACCCGGTTGTACTGGGACCTATAGGGTCAGGATTTGATCCCCCCAGTACGACCTCCTATCTACTATAGCGGTTCTTGGGTACTTGTTCCGGAGGCATGCGACCCTACCATCATCCCAAGCGCCCACCGCGGTGACCGGTGACTGGCGAGGCCGGAGATGTCTTGAACGTTGAAGGAACTGTTCCACCTGTTCGTCTTTCAGGGGAAGACCAATCCCCCAAAAAGGGGTTTAAAAATGTTTAAAAAAAGGTATACAAAAAGGTTATCAAAGTCATCCACTGACAGGGAAAGGTATGGATCTTGACGTTACATCTTGTCCTGAAGATGTCAATCCGCAGTGACCCGAACTCGGACTGGCCTTTTCTCGACGGGTTCAGCTCGTGTCTTAAGACATCGGGTCTCTCGGCAAACGTGACAGATCCAGTTCTGCTGATCTGAATCGAAAAAAACGTCCGCCGGCGGTGGGGGGGAGCTTTTTTTCTGATACTGACGAACACATCGTACATGCGACACCTTGCACCTCTGAAACAAAAAATACACCTTTAAAGCTTTCCTCTCAGGAAGGCTTTCCGCTTCAACATAGACCCAAAATGACCCAAGGGTGTCCATGAATGACGTAGTAGAGCCTTTACAGCTCTTCAATTGCCATCCCTTGGTCCCAGTTTCGATGGATCATCATGGGTCTGGCATATGGTTTTGCTGCGGGCCCTCTGCTTGAACTGAGGAGACATGTGGGTCATGCAGCCAATACAGTACTGGTTGAAATTGTGTAAAAAACAAGTCTCCAACGGATACTCACTGTAAGGATTCTGGCACCAGAACTATATTGTTATTCAGAAGTCTGCGGTCAAAAGACCTGGATCCCCAAAGAAGGCTGTCCATCAATGACCCCTCAAGGTGCCCACTAGCAATCCTTGTGGGTTTTGGTGCAGTCTATTGAACCATTTCCACCGTCTTCGAACACCGCCGCGCCAAGGCGCCTCGTCTTCACGAGGACACCGCGTCTGCGGATCAATGGATCAAATTTGGCCCCTCGACGCCAGCCCAACAACTGGCAAAGGAAAGGCATCTAAATGTGCAGCTGGATGCTTGAACCAGGTCAGAATTTGAAATCGATAAGACTCGGTGGCCCCACTCTTGGCGGCATGGTCCCGCAAAGTATTCTGCGATTGGCAGTGTCTGCGATTGGCTGTGTCCGTCTAGTTGGTTTTGCAGAATGGCATATATATATATATACATATTCCTCTTTGGTTACCTGGTTGTCCACATGAAACATTTTGAGTCATGACACATCATGAAAAAAAACATATATTGAAACAAAAATCAAAAAAAACACATGACGGTTGCGGGGCCTCTCAGAATAAGGAGTGCTATTCGTTGATTGTTGAACTGATTTGTTGGGGGGGATGTGTCGGAAATGGACCCAGGGTCGGATGAAGATTGCGCAGGGAATCCAAAAAAGTTGACCCGGTCGGTCATGGGAAGACTTTGGACATGAAAAAAATGAATTTCACGTATGATGACAAAGGGAACAGTTGTGATTTCATCCAACTGGCGGTCCAATTGGTATTTTCGATCAGTCAATGGTGATGAACCTCAACAGCAGAGATGTCGACTGCTCAGCAAAGAACATTTGTTTCGGGAAAAAATATTGCCAAACATCAATGGTCCAATTCCTACATACATTTGGTCGCGTCAACTGTTTAACATCAAGGTGGGCAACATGTTCAACATACACTTGAGTGCAGCATTCCGCTCCGCCATTCCGTTCCACCAAACTTGTTATTTTCCACATCCCATGCCGCCCATACGTAGCCTCCATTCAACCCCAGTCACCATTGAAACCTGCCAGCCCGAACAGTCAACCAAAACTGATGTAAAGGTAGATGGCAAGAGCAACAAGGTCAAAAATGTTTTCCATGTAACTTGGAGAAGTGGATTCCTACAGCCAATGTGATGTAGGCCACCGTCGATGCCGCGCTTGCAAGAACAGAGGTTCTTCCGACGATGCGACGCAGTGGAACCTGCTGGTGTGGAATTTGCCTTTAGGATGAACTTAGGCAGCATCCTGGTTGTTATTGGTCTAGTTCACTATCATAAAAGTAGTTCAAAATTCAAGTCTTACTCTGTTTCATGAACCGGCCAAAAGGTAAGTGATCATGAACCTAGGCTGATTGCGCAGTTAGACTTTCAAATTTGATATTGCCTTAAGAATACATGTGCTCAAGAAGCCTTGTTGAGGTGTCCAAACGCAAGTGTTGTTTCTTTCACATCCCCGAACCAAGAAATATGCCACAAGCACTGAAAGGCGACCTTCTCTTAATCCTCCAGCTTCGACATTTTCACGTGTCAGGCAACCCTATAGGTTTGGCCATCATCTTGTTTGCAACAGCAAGGCCCTGCAGCCCGTTAGCACATGAGGAAGCCAAACTTCGAGTCACCCTCTGCAAAGTCTTCACCTCTAAAGCGCAAACCATCCAAAGGCTGTGTGCAATGGAATGTGCGTCTTAGGGAGATCTGGAAAGTATTCTTGATTGAAGTGTCGTCCAAGTAGTCTGTGGCACTGGCACAAACTGATTCTATTTAAGCAAGGCTCAAAGCCGTAGACTGGTCCACCAGTCATGTTAGGCCTGCACCCTGAAAGTCTGAAGCCAATCGGCATCCATTCCTATCACAAAAAGCACAAACAAATTTAGCAGTACTTGAAGTGCTTGATCAGCAAGTACTTGAAGTACTTGAAGCTGCCAAAAGAAGAGCTGGCCCTGATGCTCTCATGACTGCGTCCTGTACGCAAAGGCACTCAGATGTTCACATAAAAGAAAGCTCGCCCTGAAAATAGCTTACCTGCGCCAAGCCTGACAAAGGGCGAACTTCAAGGCACATGCAGCAAGTTGGCTAAACGTGTGCCAGTGATGCCAGTCGGACATTTCAGGTTTTGCTTTCCAGCCTACGATGAGTGTTTTGCATGGGTGCGCCTTCTGTTCTTGTTGCTATCATGTGTGTGCACGTACCTTGGAATCATAGGTAGCGTTTTGCTTTTTAACGTAGCAGCTGTCCAGAGAACTCCCCGCCAAGAACACCTCTCGAGGCTGATGGCTTCTGAGCGGCCGCGCGCAATGTCTTTGCCAAGACAACAAGTGATGACACGCGGCCATCGT